AAGCAATACACTTATACACATAAAAATAAAACATAAAATAGTAAAAAGAAGAAAAGAGCTTAAGGTACCTGTTTCAAGTTCACCCACAGGGTCTTCATGGTGCTGATGTGAGAACCACAGCTGGAGCATCCATCAGCCAACACATCAGAAACACCTGCTTCCATTCACAGGCAAGGCACCCCATTTCTTCAGGCCAGTGGTTCTTAAATGGTCAGGAGCATGAGACTCCCTTGGGAGCCTGTGGACACAGAGATGACTGGATCCACCTTTGGAGCTTCTGACTCAGGAGGCCTGAGATGGGAGCTGAGAATTGGCCTCTTAGAGAAGGGCACAGGTGGAACTGGTACTGGTGTTGTTGGTTTGCTATCACCCTTTGTCCCCCACTAAACAAGTTGTTTTTTGGGGAATTATAAGAAGGTAGGGAGGCAAACTGTGACAGCATTCTGATCAAGAATGAGCTAAGAGGACAAAGGTCTAGGAAGCAAAGTGGTTAGGGTTCAAAGCAGGCCAGTCAGGCAGGAAGCTTAGACTTGCTCCAATGATCTATCCCAAATCCAAGACCTTTGGCTGCCCAAATTCTCCTAAGTCTGTTCCTCTTCCTTTCTTGCCTGGATATTTTCCACCCAGGCTTCATGAAAGCTGAGTCTGCTGGCAGTCCTCTGGCAGCACCGGTGAGGGCTTTCTGGAAGGTTGGAAGGCCCTTGGTGGCCCCTCCTGGACTGACACATCCACTCAGCCAGTGAGACTGTCAGTGAGTGGCTTGGGCCTCTGTCTGCTCTCTGGGAGAATCTTTTCAGATTGTCTACGGCCTAATAGGATACATTCAAAGGAAAACATGCTCTGACCATTTAGCCACCTTTTCTTGACACAAATAACAAGGAACTAATTACCAGATTTGCAGAGGAAGTGGGCAGAAAGGGATTTAAAAGGAGGAGTGAATCCAGCCTCAAGAATGGCCTCATGACTCACACAGGGATAAGGTGGCAAGAGTGGGGGCTGGACAGATGGCTCAGTGGTTAAGAGCACTGGCTGCTCTTGCAGAGGACCCAGGTTCAGTTCCCAGCACCCACATGGCAGCTAACAACCATCTGTAATTCCAGTTCTAGGGAATCCGACACCCTCTTTTGACCTCTGTGGGCATTGCAAAACATGACACAGGTGCACTTACACATATGCAGGTAACATACTCATACACATAAAAAATAAAAATAATACATAAAATATTTCTTAAAAAGATAGCTAGATGGGTCCATACTTCAGTACAGGTAAGTTGACACCCAGGTATCTGCCTGGTGTTACCACAGCATCTACTTGGGCAAGTAGCACTGTTAATGATTTAGCCTTGGTGCATCTGAAAGCATGCTGCCATTCTCACTGTCTGCTGACTCTAACAAGGACTCTAGGAGAAAAGCTGAATGGGAGCTAGGTGCAGGGACGTATACTAGCACTTGGGAGGCTGAGCTGGGAGGAAGAGGAATTTGAGGCCAGTCTGGGATACACTGTGAGTTCAAGGCCAAACTCAGCTTAATAAATAGCTCAAAACAGTAGAATAGGAACGACTATCCCAATTTTGCAGCTAAGACAACTGAGAAGCAGGGCTCATGAAAAACAGTGGACAAAGCCTTTACTGCCCTCTGGACCTGACAAAGACCAAGATCCCCAGAGGTGGTTTGGTAGACCAGAAGGCTCCCTGGGTGTGCCTTGGTGCTCCAGTTTGGCCTGCTGCTCATTAGAGGAAAGAAAACCATTTCATTTAGCATCTCTTCTCTAGACCAGCAACATGGACATCTGTCCCATTGGCAGGTCTTGTATCAGATAAGGGAATGTGGGAGCAAAGATGAGACACTGTTGACCTATGAGAAAGATGGAGTGATGGGAACCGTGTTGCAGCACACTGCTAGGTGGGTCATAGTCAGCCAAGAGGCTCAATCTTAGCCAAAAGATCCCCAGGTAAACTATTCTGGCCCTGCAATGGATCAACATGGAAAATGGAATACCTTTGTACAGCCCAGGTAAGCAATGATCCTCTTCAAATGGAGCTGGGGCCCATCAAACTTCAGGAGAGATTAGGTGTCCACAGAACACATGGCTTGTAGACAGTATCATCCAAGCACACTGGCAAGTGCAGATGCACATAGCAGGTACACACAACTGACCTCAGCAATTGTCTGCAAGTGTACTGAATCCCTTTTCTGAGTAAGACTTCCTAACCATGGAGTCCACAAACACAATAGCTTCCTATCTACTGGTAGATACTGGCCTTCCACCTGTCCAGAGGAGTCAACAAAATCAATTGAAGGTCCAGGTCTCAGCACAGTGTTGAGATTCCATGTAAGAAAACAATGTGAAGAGGAGATAGCCCTCAAGCAGCAAGAGACTCTACTAGGAAGAGAACAGACTCAGGCACAAATACTTATAAGGCACAACGGAGCATGGTCAGCATTAGAAAAGCCAAGCTATGGGACAAGACAAAATGACAGCCAGTACAGAGGCAGGGGAGATTAATTTCCACTGAGAATTCAGGTTGACTTCGGAAAGAAGATAGAGCAGGGCTAGTCATCACACAGGATGTGAGAGGCCTCAGTTCTCAGGCTCCTCCCGCTAGTCTTCCTCAGAGGTCTCATGCTTTCCTAATAAAGCCATCTCTCTGTTGTGAAATGGACCATTTACCCTAAGTGCCTCATAGCATTATGAAGACTAAGTGAGAACTGATTTAAATGCACATTGGATAAATAAAAGTACAGAATATGAAGCCTTTTCATCATGTCTGGGGGGAGAGGAGGGCAGGAAGCTAAAAGCAAAAAGTGAATGAGGACAAAGGGTGGGGTGGGTGGTGCCTGGAAACCGAGGGGCACCAGGGTGCTGTGAACACATACCTCATTAGTAGCTCACTCCATGTTTTTAAACCTGCCAATGGCTATTTTTTTTTTTTTTTACAACAGCCCAAAGAGAAGAAGTGAGAACATCTAAATTCCTCTGCATTGGAAGAATGGAAAGTCCTACCTAGAGAAGTGGTAGGGACAGGGTATGGAGTCATGTGAGCCTTGATGTTCCCCTGCCCCAGTCCCTGCACTGGACCTAGGCTCTATGGATGCTCAGTGATGCAGTTTTTACTTCTTTCCAAGGAACTCTACATTCATGATTCATTTTGATTCTTTCTTACCCACAAGCCCTACAGGGGCAGGCAGAATATGGATTATTCCTATCAGAGGTAGAGAAATTTCCTGAAACTGAGTGATCCATGTCCAAGCTAGTGCCATCAATGGAGAGCCCATCATCCCACTCCTCACAGGGCATGGTTATTCAAATCATGCTACATCCTAAGATGTATTTCTGTAGCTGGGTTTGATGGCACATGCCTGCAATCCCAACATTCAGGAGCCTGAGGCAGGAGGACTGATGCAAGTTCTAGGCCAGCGTGTGCTACAGAATGGGTCCCTTTCTCAAAAAAAACAAAAAACAAAAAACAAAAAACAAAGCAAAGTCTCAATGAATCATCTTCCCAGCTGTACTGTAGGCTGTGTGATTCCAAGCTCTTTCCCTGTGAGATGTCACTAAATCAGCCTCATCACATGGTAACTCCCACATGTACTGGTTTACTCTAGTTCTGAAGGTTTTGTGTATCCCAGATTCTCTGGATCTGTTACCAAAAAGGAAAGGATTTGAGTTAAAACCATTTGTTCAATGACTTGACATCACAGGTCCTTAGGAGAAAGAAGGTGAAGAATGAGCCTAAGCATAAAGACAGAGAAGGGGAATATTTTTATTTTTCACTATGGGCATTCTTGCCTACCAACTTGATTGTCAATTTTGACGAAAGGCATGGCTGAAAGACTGGGGGCAGAGGGCAGGCATATGGTTAAGGCGGCAAAGCAATCTGTGGCATCAAGAAGCCAGAAGTAGTGAGGCTGAGGTAGTGTTTGAAATTGGGGTTTGAGTCCAAGTTCCAGCCAGTGAAGGTGGCAAGGGAGCTGTGCCTCCCCTTCCTGTTATGACTTCTCATTATAGCTGTGCCAGGCAGGCCAGTGCCTTCTGCATAGTCAGAGCAGAGTGCTGAAGCACGTTTAAGGTCAGAGCCATCCAGACCCTCAATGGCCCACTTTCACCTTTGGCTGTTAAGAGTTCACGGCGTACTTGCATCCTAAGGATGTTCTATAAAAATCAAGTATGAACAGTTTTGCTGGGAGACTGGCTATGTTGTGGGGTGCTGATGATATGCTCACCCTGAGGCACTCTGGCACCCCTAGAGAAGCAGCATGTGGGGTGGGAAAGGGGACAAAACAGAAAATTTGCAGCTCCTGAAGACACAGTATGTCACGGGGAAGGAGGTCTGGGCCTTGAATACAGGTCAGTGTGACATATATCACCACCAGTGCAGGAGTGGTGATCCGCCATGGGGAATTTTAATAGAACCACCCTCAATCATGGCTGTCCTAGCACACTATGGGGCGAGGGCATCATGAGACCCAAGAAGGCAGAGTCGTTAGCTGATCCCAGTGAGCATTAGTTTAGCAAATTAGCTATCCCAGCCCACTCTTTATTGACTGACTCAAAGAGACACAGAATGGGTCAGCTCTGGTGAGAGGAGCAGGTGAGATAAACTGGGGCACAGTGCTCCAGGGGTGTTATGAGCACAGTATCAAGATGAGATGATGATGTAGACATCCAGGATAAGAAGATATGACAGGAAATTTCACCAACCGCAAAATGTTAAAGCCACAGAGTTCAGGGCTGAAAGAAATTTTAGACATTAACTAGTCCGACCTTCTACTTGTGCAGCCCAGAACTACTGGCCACAGTTGTGTGGCAGAGTGGACACTAGGAACCAGATCCCTTCAACAACTTTTCAGGCCATAGATCTCTCTAGCACTCTCTGTTCTGCCCCTAACACTAGTAGCAGTCCCCTGATTACCATGAAGCCAAGAACACCCTCTGGAACACTTTGTGCATTCTTGGGGATCCCATGGGTCCCCAGCAATAGCCTTTCCAGCCAGACATACCTTGTGTGAGTAATGCTGATCAACGATTCTTGCCAACCCAAAATCCCCAATCTTGAGCACAAGGTCCTCTGTGCTGATGAAGATGTTGGCGGGCTTCAGGTCCCTATGCAACACATTGGCAGAGTGGATGTACTTGAGCCCACGCAGCAGCTGGTACATGAACAGCTTGGCATGCTCTTCGGTCAGAGTGCCCTGCTCCAGCAGGCGTGCCAGGTCAGTCTCCATGTACTCCTGGACAATGTAGGCCACACTGAACTTGAAGAGCTCGCCCTGCAGATCAGTGCCCTTGGGTCCCAATACCTCATATACCTTGACTATGTTGTCATGGTCCAGGCGCCGAATGATCTTGATCTCCCGGAGTGCATGCTTCATGCTGCGGGCATCACTCAGCGTGATTTTCTTCACGGCTACCTTCCGGCAGGCCCTACTGTCCACAGCTGACAGCACCAGCCCATTGACCCCAAAGCCCAGGGGTTTGAAGTCAATGAAGCGGCCACCAAGGTCATATCCGTAGACGCTGGCGATGCAGTCACCTTTCTCAGCCATGGTTGACTCAGTGGTCTGGGGCAGGCTGTGGGATGCAGGGGCAGTCAGGAAAGGCTGAGCTCCAGCCAGTGGTTTCCCTGGCACACCTCATTCTGTCAAGTCTCACAGCAGAGGGATGCTTTTGCTCTTGGTGAGGTCACTGCTGTCAGCGGTCAGAAGAAGGAATGGCACAGGTCCTTTTGTTCACTGGTCTGCTCAGCTGGATGCACTGGCCGTTCTCACCCGCACTGGGGGGTGGGCTGCTACCAACTTCCTGAACCTTCCTAGATGCTTGAAATGGCTCATGCTCCTTTCAAATCTGGCATATTAGAAGAAAAAGCCAGTATCCTTATCTTCTATCACCATGGATCACAGTACAATATGCAGCAACTCCCCGACTCTGAATCCTTTGTTACCTGAGGCGCTGCCTGGCTCAAATGCAGGAGCTGCTTGCTGAGCTATGTGGCTTTACTTAGGAGGGTCCACAGCTTCCCTCTGTGCTCTGAGCAGTATGAGGGGATTCAGTCAATGAATTCTAGAAGCTTCTAGGGGCTTCTTTCCATTTCTGCCAGTTCACCTTTTTACCAGTTCATTTTAGAATCCAAAACCCCAACCAGTCTGGTAAAGGAAAGGGCTGGAGAAAGCCACACTCCACTCATGAGCTCTGCACCAAGTTACACCTGCTGTCCCAAGTCCAATAGGGGCTCGGCTGCCAGGCCCGGAACCTCCAGACGCTTTGGATGTGGGCACATCGTCTTTCAGCCACTTATCCTCGCCACCTTGATGGAGACTGTTCTGCTATTCTCAGTGCTGCAGGAATGTGGCATCTTTCAGGCAAAGTCTCCTTCCCTGTCAAAGAAACAATGTTGGGTAAATTTCCACACTCCAGCTTTCAACACCTTCCCACTTGCGTCTTTTGTTAACCAGCCCAAGTGTTATTTGATCTGTCCAGCCAGCTGAAACGCTGCTTGCTCAGGGGATTCCAGCTTTGCACTGCTCAGCTACCCTCATGCTGTGTGCAGCACTGCCCTGGCAGAGGGGAAAGACGGTTGATTTGATAAGTCCATCAGATGGTGTGCTTTTATGTCCGTGCCTGCTCCCTCAATGCTTACATGTGCAGACAGGGGGTGGGAGTCAGCCGTTCTGACCTTTGCAAAATGGTCACATCAGCACGAGCTAGGAAGGGTGAGAGTCGAAAGGAACTAGTTGCAGACAGAATATGAGGGCTCAATAATCTTGCTTTCCCTTGTAGGTCCCTGCCTTCTTTTGCAAATGCCTTTGAATATCTGAAGAGTTTGCCTTAGACTGAGATTTAATAGCATCTGTATCCCTGCTTTCCACAGAGGTGGCAGAAGCATACAGACAGAGCTACAAGGAACCTCTACTGCCACCCACAGCAAAGGGACTGTCTGCCCCTAAACCAGGGCTACTCCAGGGCTGGCATGGTGAGCCAGATCTTCCTGTGACAGGGATGGATGGGGACCTAACTGTTCAAAGCAGCAGGCCAAATGCAGGCTCTACTGTTCACCTATGATGATGGCTAACTCAAATTACAGATATAGGACAGAAGTGGGGAGGAAAGAACCCTACAGAACAACCCAGGCCAACTCAAAACTCTGAAGTAAAGCCAACATTGTAACTTGCAAGAGAGTGGCAGGTTTTCTAAGTGCACAAAGTCCATGGGTACAAAGAACTTTGTAACCAGCAGAGGGATCTGGCTAGGCCCTTTAATTCTCATCTCATCTGTCTTAATTCTCATCATACTGCAGGGCCCCAGGTGAGGACGCTTTCCCATCTGAACTTTGTGTGACTCTACAAACAACAGATGAGGCAAAACAACCATGAACTCGATGCTCTGAAGTTAAGGAGGGAAATTACAGGGTGCAGATGATCAGAAATAGAAATAAGTATACCTCCATTGGGGATTTCATTTTTGTGTATGTTCATGTCTGTGCACGCATGCAGAGGTCAGAAGCCAATGTCAGCTACCTTTCTTCCACCTTATTTTTTGAGACAGGGTCTCTCACTGAACCTGGAGCCCCTGATTCAGCTACATTGGCTAGCAAGTAAGTCTCAAGACTCTCCTGCCTTTACTTCCCCAGCTTTGAGGTAGCAAGCTTTTATATGAATTCAGGTCCTCATGATTGTGCAGCAAGCACTTTACTGATTGAGCCATCTCCACAGGCCTCACCCCCACCCCAGTTTGAGGATTTCTGAAGAAGGAAATTTGCCAAAGGTCTGGAACATAGTAAGCGCTCAGCTCCACAGACATCAACTGTTGCTGCCGCTGTCCAATAGTTCCTTACACCTGAGTAAGATGTAGCAACTCTTCTGTCAGTTTGTCAAATCTGCAGCAGCTCCATTCTGAAATTATTGGACCCAGAGGCGAAACAATCATAGACTTACAAAACTTCAGACTGGGGAGCAATCTTAGTGAACAGTTCCATGTCCCTACCTGGGGACAGTACTGTCCTCCTTGGCTCATGTGACAAGGAGTTACTACTAGACTTTATAGGGTAGGGCCAGGCTTGTAAGCATTTTACTGAGCAACTCCATTACTGACACATCTGCCCCTCCATCCCCAAATGCTGAGAGTATCTCCTTTGAGATGCTGATTCTGATCCAAGTTCTCACTTTGCAGGTGAGAATACTGAGGCTTTGTGAGTACTGGCTTGGTGCCACCAGCACAAACTGACACATGGATAGATAAGTACCCTTCACTTGGTCTGTGGATGCCTGAGCCACTCAGAGATGGTCTGAGACACCCACAGTGCCACAGTCTTTGGCCTGGTATAATGAAGTCCTCCTGGACACCTAACTCTGGGGAACCAAAGAACCTCCTTGACAGTCCCCTTCTATCCTGACTCCTTCAGCAAGCCAGGCAGAGCTTCTTATAGTTCCACTTATGAGTCTCATTCATTACCAAAGGTTTGCAAAGGGAGCCAGTTACATATCTCCCCACCCCCAGGAGAGATGCCCAAGCTTCCTCCCCTTTCCAGTTCCCGTTGGGTGGTAAACAAAGACCGGAATAGTCCCTGTGTCACAAGCAGCTCAGAGGAGGATCTGTTGGCAATCGGGCTGCAATGCAGATAATCTGTGAATAATTAAGAAGTCCTTCATTTATTTTTAAATTCTTTCCTTTTCCTGTCCCCTGTGGGAGGGACTGCCCTCCCTGCTTGTCCTTGTCTCTTTTTCAGTGCTCTTCCCAACACACTTTCTGTTTGAGCAGGTAGGAAACATGTCACCTTGGGAAGGCTCAATTCCAGTGACACCACCTTCCTGTGGGCCTTTCAATAGACCATCTTAACTCCTTCCTGGTTTCTTTGTGTGTGTCTTTCTGGTCCCTGAAAGGTCCTCCTGCTTCTTCTGCACTTGGTGAAATCTTGCCCATCACTCAAAATCCAGAGGGCAATCTCCCTTCCTGTCTGACAGGTATGTCCCTATTCTCAGTCAAATATCTCCCTTTTCTACATTTCAGTGGTACTCATGTACGTAGTGATTTGACACTGACTATATACTAACCTGGGCTGTTAGCTTTTTAATGTATCTGTCTATTGGACTAGACTTTAAACTTCACAAGTAATGTGGGCAAAGTGGCACAGGGACAATAACTGGTAAGAAGGACCCAAGTACTGCACAGCATGCCTGCACAGTCAAGAAACCCATATTTCCTGGATGGTCACAGATTTCTTTGTGTGCTGTGTGAATGCAATGTGCTCAATAGGCTCTTCTTACCACAAGTCTTAACCACACAGACAAGCCTGTAGCCCTGCACTTGAACTTCAACCCTCTCAGTGTCACCTGCTGCTCAGATGCTGCCTCTCAGAATTTCAACATCCTATCTGGGCGGCCTTCATCCAAGCATTCTCTGTTCCTACCTGTTTTCTGCCACTCATCTCTTCCCAAACCTCTTCATTTTCTAGGTTTCCTTCTTTAGTTCCTCTGGAATACCTACTGCCTTTTTCCACAGGTGTACTGGTTTATGAAGCATCGGCTCTTTTAACAAGTCTCACAAAAAGGCAGAACTCTGGATCCCCAGAGAAGGGCAGATGGCACTCAGATGTGTCCAGGGCAGTGGAGTGGTTTCAGCAGTGAAGGCTGGCCATCTCCATAAAGAGTTGGCAGCTCAGAGCTGCTCAGAACCCCAGGTGTGATTTCAAACCCAAGGTCTTGGCATTCAGTGTGTGAGATGGAAAGGTCACCCATTCAGCTGTGCTCAAATGACACACAGCAAGAGGAATGCAAGTGGCTCTTGCGAGGGCAGCCTGGACTTCCACAGTCTGTGACAAGCACTATAATAAAATACAGAAATAAAAATGTCTAGCCTAGGACTCCCAACAGGAGCGTCAGCTTTTGACTAGTTTCTCAATGATAGCTTGCCTGAATTCCATGAATGATTCTCTCACCCGTGTAGCCTTTTAACAGGTGCAGGCAAACCAGAGATGAGGTAGTGCATGCCTACTGTCCCTTTCTGGAATTCCTGCAGCTCTGGTTTACAAATTAGCTTTGGATAGTCTAAATTTAGACTCACCTCCCTGCCTGCTCAGATCCTCCCAAACCTCACACTGTTGGCTATTGTCTTCCAGTAGGAAATGCAGTCTCTTGTGAGGTACTGACATTTCACAGCTACCGCTTCTGTGCTGGGTAGCTTTAGTGTCAACTTGACACACCTGGGTTGAGGGAGTCTCAATTGGGGAATTGCCTCTATTGGACTGGCCTGTGGCCATATCTGAGGGGCATCTTCTTGATGAGTGATGTGGGAGGGCCCAGCCCACTGTGGGTGGTGCTACCCTCTGGCAGGTGGGCCTATGTTGCATAAGAAAGCAGGCTGAGCAAGGGCCAGGGGAGCAAGCTAGTAAGCAGTGTTCCTCAACGGCCTGTGCTTCAGCTTCTGCCTCCAGGTTCCTGTCCTGAGTTCCTACCTTGGGCTCCCTGATGACTGTGACCTGGGAGATGTAAGCTGAATAAACCCTTTCCTCCCTAAGTTGGTACTGGTCAGAGTATTTTGTCACAGCAATGAAGAACAAACTAGGACAGAAATTGGTACCAGAGAGTGGGATATTGCTGTGACAGACCTGACCTTGGTGTTTTGGGGAGGACTGTGGAAGTCTTTGGAACATTGGGCTGGCAAAGCCATTGCGTGTTCAGAGTTTGTTGCTGTGGCACTTGAAACAGTTATGCTGAAAGAGCTGTAGACAATGGAGGCCTGGCTTGTGAAGATTGATGGAGGCCTGGCCTATGAAGCTTCAAAGGGAAGCAGAGACTGTCAGGGCTATTCATGTAAGATTTTGAACTAAGAATCTGTGGGTTCTGGTCAGCTGGGGTTGAAGAATCAGCTGTGATTAAGAAGAGACCAGAACCTGAAGCAAAACCTTTGCTTTACTGGGACAATTGATGCTGGTTAGCTGGGGCTGAAAAATCAGCTGCAAGTAACAAGAGACCAGCATCGCTGTGGTGAAATATGGGAGGTATTTCCTCAGGGTTGGTGCACAGAAGCTGTGGAACAGAGGGGACCCAAGGGCCTCTATCTCAAGCTGGAAGCAGGACTTGGCAATGTGTAAGAGTCTTCTGCATGGTTTTGGTGTTGAAAGCGTGAAGGGGTCACAGAGAGCAGCTGAGGCTTGGCACCCTCAGAAGCCAAAAGCTATTGGTGAAAGTGAAGCTTCAGTCGCAGCAAAGACCCCCAGGATTGAAGGGGTCATGTAGAGAATCTGAGGCATTGCACCCTGAGAGGCCAGAAGAGGCCACTGGTGAGGGTGCAGCCTCAGTTTCAGTGGAAACCCCAGCTTTTTGGAGATGCCGGGACCATGGGACAACCACCAAGAACAGTGGCAGGTGTGGAATGGAGC